ATCAATAACAGCTGGGCAACTGATTGTTGACCCGCCAGATCTGTCCACTCCTCTTCCAGCCCTTCCTCCTCAATGGCAGTATCAAGAAGACCACCCGCACTCCCTGTCTGCTACCTATTTAGTCAAGAAAGAACAAGATATTGCAAGTGTCACCAGTGAGGACCCAGTGTGCTTGTTATGGCAGTTAAGTGTTGTGGCCCAACAGATGAGAGACTGTCACAGTGTGTCCTAATTGTGGTAGTCAGGATTACATACACAGAGAAAAAAATAAATTTATAACTATGCAAACCAGGGTTCATTCCCAACATGGCACATTCCAACCACACAATCAACTGTTTCATCTCTGGGAAGGGGACCAGAGCAGCTGGAGAGTGGGAACATTTTTAATCACTTTGAGGGATTATCTGACCATTCCTTAAGTTAGGCAGCTCCAGCAGGCAGTCAGAACACAGCCTGAAGTAGAAAAGTGGGGCGGGGGGGGGAAGAAATTTTTCCCCAGTAACTTCATGCAGTTTTAATAACTGTGACTTTTGCTTAGAAATGGAAGTGAAAAAAAGACCCCAGATAGCAGTGCTGCTGTTTTCTCCAAGCTATAAAGGTGAGGTTTTTTTGTACAACGCATTTGAAAACATCAAAATATTAAGTAGCTTCTTAAAAAGACTGAAAAGAAGCTTTAAACCCCAGCATACTTTCTCTTAGTTTGAATATATCTAAAAGTCTTTCAATTACAGCTGCGTGGGATGAACTTTTCTGCTCATCCATCTATTGTAAGATGCGATTTGGCGTTCCCAGAGAGTCGAGGCTGCTATGAAATAAGCCGGTCCTTTGCTCTCCCTCTATCCTTGTTCTCCCCGAGTATCCAAGCGGTCTGTCACCACACCATGCTCCGCTGCCCTGCACCTGCCATAGGCACGGGGCCGGCAATGTGTAGGGGCAGCACCCCCACACCGCTCCCCACCGCACCGATCCAGCACGGGTGACAAGGAGTGTCGGAGATGGAAAAGTGGCAGCGGTTGATACCTCCCCTCTCCCTTAGAGGATATGAAAAAGACACTGGAAAAAAAGACAGGAAAAAAATAATAAAAGCAGTAAGATCCATTCAGGTCTAGTCTGTGTGTTTTGGAAGATGAGAACAGCAGCTGTGCTGAACATAAATTATTTCATGAGGTCAGATATGATTGGGAATATGATTATAAGGAAGTGCAAGGATCCTTGCAGAAAGCAGCTATGTAATCTTCTGGCAAAAATGTTACTACAAAAATCAGAGGAAAGCATTAAGAATGCCATCTTAGTGATTGTTCTCCTTGCTTAATACTGGAAGGAAATATTTATTCCATGATTTTTTTGTACCCGCCACATGACTCAATGCCAGAAGTTCATTCATTTCTGAATTCTCACAGAATCATTTAGAGAACTGTCCAATAAATCTACATCTATCTACATCTGCTTACACCACATTTAATGCAAGAGCTGGTATTTCATGCAAGCATATCTTTCAGAAATACAACTAATCTTGATCTAAATGTATAAAAGATAGGGAATCCAATGCTTCTCTTTGAAGTCTGTGCCAGTTTTCGACTAAAACCACAATGATGATCAATCCGACAAAGAGAGTCCAGCTGAATCCATGAAAGCAATAATGCCTAAATATGCTGCTTCCACTCTTTGTCGGACATTCCAATTGACTTATCTCCTATTAATAATACACTCGGGTCTCCCCCTTGCCCCCAATTCATTAGACATTTAGTTCAAGAAAGGACTTGCACATATAACTTATTAGGAGTCAGAGTAAATGGCAAAATAATCACACTCACACTCAAATGAGCAGCGCAGGCTCGTGTTAGGACAGAGCAGCCCACACCGTTCGGCAGGTGAACTATTCCACAAGAAAATAAGTTCCAAACTACTTCAAAGAAACTGACGCCCAAGAGGACACTGCAAATGATACCTTGTCTATACAGACAGTCAAACAAGGATGAGATAAGGCTGGTCCATCTGCCGTATCTGGACAGAAACTTAGCGCTCACTATTTCATTGACCTGCAGAAGAGCCTGGTCCCTAACGCCTGAACTGATGATTAATTGATAATTGTTTTCTTGTAGGGATATTACAAAGGAAAATAACTCTTCTGAACTACTTTTAAAGGTCTCAAATTTAAGTATTTTCCATAGACATGAAAGTAGTATAAAATGCATACAATTTTTAACTACACTTGTCTAGTGTTAATTGAGTAAGGAAAGTTAACAAATGTATTTATCTTTTTGTCTTATCATTAGCTTGAGGATTTCAAAGTAACTTCTAAAGACAGATTATATTCCTAAGATAAGTAGTCAATGATTTCAGTGAGGCACACAAGAAATCTCTGGAGACCTGGGAACAGAAGCCAGATCACGTGAATCTTGAAGCATTCTCTAGCCACTAAGAAACACTGCTTAATTAATTTAGTTAATATTTACACTCTGCATAGGAAAACAGAAATATTTAAATGACTCTTAATGTAATGATACTGTGCTAATGACCTGAGCTAAGGACTTGTGATATTACTGAAGATTTGTGAGTTAATTAGAAAGGCATCCAATAAGTCTGCAGATCACTTCACAGGAGACAGATGCTCACCGTGATGATAACCAAGCTGAAATCATTAAAAATGAGGTCCCAACTTATTTGTGATGAACCTAAACAAAAACTAGTAATTAATGGCACAGATATCAAATGCTTGGGATGAACATGATTGGCTAATACAAGCCTTATAGCTTGGTCTGAAGCAATCTCAACAAGAGGAACATTTTTAGAGCAGCATTTGGTGTCCTCAACACAGAGCCCATCAATAGCTTCATTATTTTGTTAGAAAAGTTACATGACCCAATTAATCTTCGCAGGCAGGTGGTATTTCAGAGAGAAATTAAGTGTATTGCAGCTCACAAGTGAAATCTCTCCTTTCACAAGGGATTTCAGTTACTCATAAAATCTTCAGGTTGAGAAGCTTTAAGCATTTCAGGCAGCAGGAGACTAAGGGCTGTGATTTAAGTAATGCATCTTTTAAATCTTGATCTTTGGCTTCTTCCATAAATGTAACAACCTTTGAGATCAGGGAATACCTCTGTCATCCCCACCCTTAATTTTAGATGACCCTTGGAAGCATAATAGTCTTAGTGATGTAGACAGGTAATAGCAGTGCCAGGATCAGGGCTGTATCAGTTCCTTTGGTCAGTAATGATTGCAGTGGCTAGACACTAGGGTCATGGGATTATTCAGGCTGGAAGGGACCTCCAACCTCCTGCCCAAAGCAGGGTCATCCATGAGATCAGATCACGTTGCTCAGAGCTTTATTCACTTGGGTCCTGAAAACTTCCAACAGCAACTGCACAAATTTCCTGTGCAATCTCTTCCACTGCTTAACAATTCTCATGGCAAGAAAAGGTTCTCCAGTTTACGTATCTTTTGTTTCAAATGATACCTGTTGAATCTTCCACCACACATCACTGCGAAGAGCCTAGTTCCATTTTCTTGATAACCTCCTTATAGGTAGCAGAGGGCTGCTGTTCAGGTCACCTGAAGCCTTCCCTTCTCCAGGTTCTTTCAAGCCCACCTCCCTCAGCTTCTCCTTGCAGAGCAAGTGCTCAAGCCCCTCACCATCTTGGTAGCCCTCCGCTGAACTCGCTCAAGTTAATCAATGTCTTTCTTGAACTGGGGTGCCCCAAACTGGACGCTATTCTAGATGCAGCCTAACAAGTGCTGGGCAGAGGGGACAATTGCTTCCCTTGATCCACTGGCTCCTGTTAATGCAGCCCAGGGTGCTGGAGACCATCCTTCCTGCTGGGGCACACTGCTGGCTCATGTTTACCTTGCTGTCTTCCAAGATGCCCAGACCCAATTCAGACAGCTGTTTACCAGACACCAAATCCCCAGCCTGTATAATTGCAAGGGGTTATTCCTCCCCTGGAGGAGGAATGAGTGCCCATTTTTCCTTGAATTTCATGAGGTTCCTATTGGCTCCTTTCTCCAGCCAACCTAGGTCTCTTTGACTGGCAGATCCAGGCTATCAACTGGTCCCACAGACCTGGTGTCACCCAAAAACTCGATGGGAGTGCACTTTATCACCTCCTCCAGGTCACTGATAGTGATGTTAAACAGGACAGGTCCTTGAGCACTGCGGTACTCCACTTGTTACCAACCTCTGTTAACCACTATCCTTTGAGACCAATTATCTAACCTGTTTGGTTTTTTTCCACCCATCCAGTTATCCATCCAGATCATAATGGCCTACACAGCACACTGCTTTTGGGATATGAATACCGATACAAATATCAAATTCATAAGGCTCAGCAATAAAATACATGGAAAATCCTTAAGCTGCCTGGATACTAGAAAATTTGCAGAGCATAGAACACAACTTCAACTTTTGACAGGTAGTTCTGAAAATCTGAACCATGATTTTATTATTAATAAATGTCAGTTATTAGCAAATGTTTGCTACTTTATATCCCAACTACATGCATTTAATTAAATGATGGCATTAGATGAGAAGAAAATAAGAAAAGGCTTATAATTAAGCTCAGTGAATGGTAACATATTAGTAATAAACTGTGAAATACAATAAAAATGTGATACATTCTGAAACTGTTAAGAAATTGGAATAATTTTAACCTTTAACTTCAATATGTGAAATAAAAAGTGCAACATAAGGACTTAGCCACACAAAACCCTTTTCAAAGAATTTGCCTTCTCCTGACCAATAAGCCTCTCATCTCTGCTCCCACAGAAACCAGATTCTGAGGCCAGTACATGTTCTACTGCATTTTTACACGACATTTTCAACAAAACCAGACACATTCATTGGACAGCTGGAGAAAAACTGAATTGCAGGTGGGAAAATTGTCCATTGAGCATTGTGAACTGAGGCATTTTCAAAAAGATGTCATATTTAAACTCAGTTACAAAATTTTATCTAGTTAAAAAAAGAAAAGGACATGTATGCGCTTGAAGTAGAGAAGACTTACCATATCATGTTGCCTGTTATCTTTCCCTGATACGATCAAGAAGTAGTTCCATGCCAGCAGCAACAACAAAGCCAGTGGTATCATGTAGAGCTCAAAGTTCCAGACCACAAAAAGAAAAAGCTAGAAGACAGAGCAGGAAAAATGTGATTCAAATCAGCATTACATTAAACTCTTGTGCACAGTTAAGACCAATAAATTAAAACAATTCTAAAGAAACCCACCTCTCCTTAGGCAGGAAAGTTTAACTGCTTTGCTGACTAGCCACTTACCTGCCTGAAACAACTGCTACACTTTCTATTGCTTCATACCTTAATTCTTGCAAAAGGAAAATTGATTTATTGTAGTCTAAGGGGAATATTAATTTTTCCCTCTTAAAATGATGTTTATGTGGACAAAATAAAGCAAAACGGCATAAGAATAAGATCACAATTTAAGACAGAAAAGGTTAGCTATTTCCATGGATAAAAATTAATTAGCTGTTTTGAAGAAAGAACTTGGTCATTTCATAGTAATGTCACACAAACAAGCTGAAGAAGTAAACATCACAATTAAATCTGAAAAAATGGTTTGCATAGAAAACTAGCCAAAAATCACATTAGAAGGGAAAAAACGTGCAACTATTTTAATAAAAGCGTAGTAAAACAGTACAGACCAAGGACTCATGGAAAATGGGATTAAAGGGAATGCTCAGAAGTCACCTAAGTCCACCCCTTTGAAGACGTCTCTCTGCAGAAGTGTTTCCCCAGAACGCCTCAAGTGCTGCCCGGTGGGAGGCTGCGGCGGCTGCGTTACCTCTCCCAGAGATGTGCGCCTGGGTAAGGGGGGCTGTTCCCCAGCGCTGGGGACACCGGGGGATGCCAGCCAGGAGAAACCCATCCCCTCTGCCAGCTCCGTACTGCGCGGCTCTCTGCCGCGGAGCTCTGACAAGCTTCACACACTGGACTTTAGCCTCAGCTCTGCCAGACTCATCAAGCGGTACAGAGATGACTTTTTTTGAAGCCTGGAAGTCCTAAGCATTTGTCAGAGCCTGTAGCTGTCTGGCAGAGATGCGTCCAGCTGGATACTGTTCACTGCTGGTGCTGGTACAAAATTATTGGTTTGCAGGAAAGAACTAAAAATATTTGGGTCAAACGACAACCATTTTACATCCAGTTTTCCCTAGGAACAAAACCCCCTTTACGGTAGCCAGCTCTAGCCATAACTTGGGTTTGTTTTCTTCTAAAACAACATAAACCAAATATCAAAGTATTAAAGAAAATCACACTATGTACCACAGCTGGATATAAACCCAGAAATCTTGCGAAGCCTTTTTCATCCAAATAGCTAAGTGTTTGAATATTTGTATTTTTAATACCTACTAAAATGAATGAATGTGGTGTGCCACAGAACTAGCAAACCTAAAGCTATGCCAAAACCTAGATAAACTAAAAAGGGTCTCATTTTTTCCAAATCAGTCACCAAGATGTATATAAAGCCGAGTAGGAATAAAATAGGGATTTTAATAGTCTTCTGCTGGATTTTTGTTTAGAGTTAAAACAAAATGCTCTTATCAAATACCAGCTCCCACATAAAAGAAAAGAAAAAAAAAGGTGTATTTTAAGTAATCTCTCTTCTCAGCCTCAGCTAATTTACCTTACCCCACTGGATGCTATATATATGGAAGCCCTGTGAGACTGCAACACAAACATGATAAATACTGAAAGAACTGAAAAAGCCGTGTGTGTGACGTACATAAGAGGATATCAGCACTTCTAACAGTTAATATTTCATTTGAAAGAAAACTACCTTTTTTAGTTTGTTTGGCTTAAAAGGAAATCTGTTAGAAATGGTAACGAATAAGAAGCAAACAACAGCTCACGGAACTTGAGAGTTCGTCTATGAGCGTTTGATGCGGTAAATCTGATACAACCAACTCACAACAGAGTTCACATCTCAAAAGAAAAGAAAAAAACCCTGGCACCCTTTACCTCCAGGAACGCTCTGAGTCAACGGATACACGCTGAAGGGAGCTCTGGAAGTCGGCAAACAGCACCCAAGTATCAGAAAAGCAAATTCTAGAGATTACTTTTGAGAAACGGTAATGCATACAGCCTTTCTTATGGTCCCGTCTGAACTTTGGTTAGAAAGATGGAAAGAAAATCAAGTCATATCCAAACAATCCCTGGCTCCAGAGAAAAGAAGCCAGCAACCTAGACAGACTCAGGAGATATGGACCTGACTGGAGAGTGAGGAACATGGCCATCATGTACCCTGTACTCCAGAGTTCCCATCCAAACACTCCTCGTTTGAGGTTCCTAAGTACCAAATGATCCTTAAGAGTATTAATTCCTTACAGTACTGTACTCTGTAGCCACTAAAGCATTACATTAAGATATTACCACTTTACAACTTGCATGGTTGTCTTTAAAAAACGTGGATATTACACCTGCCATCTCCTGTAGATTATTTTGCTGACCTGACAGCTTCGTTTCCAGCTAGTCTGGCTGAATTTTAACCAGTTCCTCCTTTCAGGCACCTGTCTCAGCCAGGCACTAGGAAAACAGGGACGAGTATTTGCAACACAAATGAGATGTGCGCTGTGCGAGACCAGCACAGCGATGGCACTGCAAGTGAAATGGCCTGTCTTCCCCAGAGGAGAAATGCACTCCTGAAACACACATGGGAGAAAACAAGCAGATTCCCAGTATTAGACAAAACTTTTAAGTAAACATGAGCAAACCCAGAATGTGGTGCAGAGCAGCAAGAAAAAGCAGGGACTCAGTTCTTAGGCATAAAGGGGCTGAAGGCTGGGAGAGCGAAGAAGGGAAGTGGTATGTAGAAACCTCAACTTCACTTTCCGCACGAAGGGGAGGAAAACCTACGTAACCATCCGTTAAACAAGTGTAGGGGAAAAAAATAATCCAGAAAAGCTAAGGAACAAGTATAAAAGGGCAGTTCTGGGACTTGTCCATGCCTATAAAGCATCCAGTGGAACATGGACTGTATCTGTTACGATCTCTTCGAAGGAAATAATGGCTCTAACCGTCTAAAAAAAGGATCCTCATCACTACTGAAACAAGCCAACTATTTTAAGGGAGGAGTGGGAGTCTCAAAGGTTACAGTTTAATATAGCTGCCATTTCCTACACAGAAGAATATAAGAGAGGACTTTTTTTCTTCTCCCCCATGAGATCAAGATTTTCAGAGTCACAGGCATGAACTGGCCATTTACAACATCATATCAGTTGATACTCTTAGAGAGAGACACAGGAATTAAATGATCATTCAGGGAGACACATGACACTATCCCTGGTGTACAACACTTCAAAAAATAATTTAAGTTAGAATATTGAATATCCTATTCTTTGGCAAACTACAGTATATTTTAAAAAGAAATCTCATCCAAAATGATTAACACTTCCTACTGTTCAGAAAAAAAGCCTGCCCTTTCAGACTAGCAGCTGTGGATCATTAGCTTTCCAGTGATGAGATGTGTTTGATGAGTATTTTTCTTTCTAATTAAGAGATGAGATTCTCTATTTGACTGTCTCTTCAGACAGAAGTGAAGAGAAAGATTTCTGCCTATGTGGAAAGGCCGTATTCTACAGAACAATTATTTCAGATGTCTTTTTATCTACCTCCACCCAATTTCATTTCATTTTTTAACAGAACCCTGTTTGCACCCACAGGCTTCACAGCATTAACACTTGCATTTCCCAGCTCTTTTTTTTTTTTTTCTTTTTGCTTCCGTTTTGACTGCAGATTACCTCCAGGAAAAAAATGAAAAGGGCTTGACAGCACGTTGGCCTTTCGGCTGTCCTGGGCTTCTGCTGGCGGTGACGGGGAAGTCTCTGTCGGGGAGCCGCCAGCCAGCCCCAGGCTGACACAAGAGCCTTTGAGGTTTGCATTGGCAGCACCCAGCGTCATGAGCTGCGATGTCCTGGGCTGTACGGTGAGGTACGGCCATTCCCACTGCCGTCGTGTCACACAGGGCATGCCACGCGCACCGCATTCTCCTCTTCGAGTCGTGGCTTTCTCTGATCATTTTCAAAGAGGATCCTTATGGCCTCATTTACATATTACCTATATCCTTGCACTATATGCGTTGCCTAACTCCTGATTACCCTGGAAATGCAAAAGTTGGCTGCATGGCGTTTTGGCACAATCACAGAGCCCACGTCTGCAGCTCCAAACAGTGTGCTCTCATCACAACATCATCCGTTCACCCTTTGAGCTTAAAAGGACAATTGTATTTCCTGAGGCTTTGCCCCTCGGATGTTTTCTCAGAAGACTAGAAAGAACGAAAGATCACCCACGTGTCGGCATGGTACAGACTGTCTACTAAATACTGCAGGTTTTAAGGCTCCAGTAAAATCCTGCATCTGTACTATGAAACACTTGAAAATACTTTTTGTTGTACCTTGGAGAGTCAGTACCTTCTTCCATTACAAAATTAGTCAGTTACCTCCGGTGATCACAGCTCCTCTCATCTTGTATGACACTTCTATTAAAAAAATTAAAAAGGAAGTATTTCTTCTAGCTGTATCAGATCTCAAACACGCTAGTATTAATGTAAACACATATGGGAATCCATTTCAAATGCAGTGCCTTCATTCAGGTAAATCTAGAAGAAATGTGCCTTTTGAACATATTCTAAAGCATCCTCCAACAGTTTTTTTTCAGCAGTCTTGCAATTTCAGTTCCAATTACCTGAGTGCCAGGAGGAGATGCAGTCTGAAAGTTTTGAGTCTAAAATGCATTATCTGTTACTCTGTTTCTTTAAAGAGGCAAAAGTCAACTTGAAAATAGCAAAAGCATGGAATGTGTCAAAAAAAATACAGAAAAAATTTCATGTCATTCCTGCCTGCATTATTTTGACAGATTTGCAGTGCAACCTTGGATTAGTGTTGGTTCTCTTTTTTAAATGCCTAAGGTCTTGGTAGTCTGAGAAATGCTGAATAATTAGCATTTTTGATCCTCTAAGAACTTTTCCTTTAACTCAGAAACAAACTTAAAGGATCACTTGCATCTTCTCTCTCTTCACTGGAATCGGAACATTCCAGTTCACTACAACTTATATTTTTTACGCTCATTCTTTCTATTTATTTCATGTAGAAAGAGAAAATGGGAGATACTTCCATG